CACACACCTCTACCTCCATCCTGCTAGGTGATTTGCTCTCATTCCTTCTACCTACTCTCTCTCTTTCCCTCTCTCTCCCTTCATCCTCTCTCTCCCTCCGTCCTCTCTCTCTTTCCCTCTCTCTCCTTCGTCCTCTCTCTCTCTTTCCCTCTCTCCTCCCTCTCTCTCTCTGTCTCTCCCTCTGTCCTCTCTCTCTGTCTCTCTCTTCCCTCCATTCTCTCTCTCGCTTTCCCTCTCTCTACCTCATCCTCTCTCTTGCTTTCCCTCTCTCTCCCTCATCCTCTCTCTCGCTTTCCCTCTCTCTCCTTCATCCTCTCTCTCATGCACCTGCAGTTTGATCTACATATTTTGGCTCACCCATTGAGTGCTGTCATTTTTATGCTGTATTCCTAGTATATAATTCCTCATTAAGAATGTATGGGTATATAATTTAGTAACATCGCTCCTATTCCATGTGTGTGGACTTTGTATGTTCTCCCCGTGTTGTAGGATTTCCTTTCTCAGACTGGTATTCTCCCCTCCTTTTCTTCTGTCTGTAGCCTCTAGGACAGGCTCTGGACCCCCTTGCGACCCTGAATAAAATAGGCAGGTACAGAAAAAGGAGGGATGGATTTTATTTCTTTTTTAAGACATAAGGGCATAAAGTACAGTTAAGTCTGTTTTGCCAGAGTTTTCGGGCTGTAACGCCTTTGGGCATGTCGAGATGGATCCTGCTCTCTCTCTCTGATACAGAACAACGACATCGAGGCCAGTGGAGACTCTGTATGCCTGCTGAGTTCTGCTGGTGCCTTAAGAGGGACGTTCCTGAGGCCCAAAACTCATACACTTCCACCTCTTAGAAGATCCACTTCCGCCGTGCACATATACTCTCCATACAGGTACAGTGTAAAGTCTGTGTTATTCAAAATCGTTGCATGTCAGAGAAATTTTGAGTAGATATATGAATTGAGCATGAAAAAAATTGATTTCTGTGAGAAAAAGAAAGTGACATTTTTTTAAGCCCCGCCATTACTTATTTAATAGAAATGCTAAACTATTTAATCTGTTACTATTACCACTGCCAGCTCCCCCCAGTTCAAACACAGGTGCCCACCCAAAATCCCCAAATGCCAAGAGCAGGATGGTACCTTGGTAACGCCCCTGTGCGGCACAGGGGGATGCCAGGAGCCAGCGTGACAGTAAGCGTCCCTCCCGGAGACCCAGACGAGGGTCTCCTAGGCACACGACTGCGTGACGGCGTCCTGGGTTTCAGTTACAGGTTGGTCTGCTGCTCTGGGTTTGTTCGGCGGTAACGTGAAAATATCACGCCTGCTTTTCATTTGCTGTCCTCCTGAAATCAAACGGCCCGGTTATTTTTCTGGCAGATAGACTGATGGTTACTGAATGCAGGGCTCTACTGGGCATCCTAGGCAATTTCCCGGGGTGGGGCAAAAGCTTTTATGGGGCACGCCCAGCTCCCACTCAGAAAAATTCATGGGGGACCCCAAAGTCCAGGGACCATTTTCAGTCCAGCCTTGACTGAACGTAATTGCATTTAATGATCAACACTAATGTGACGATCCCCTATGGAAGACATGATGAATAAGATGATGAGGGTGGTGGGAGTTTTCTGCGAGGGGTGGGGGGAGGGGTGGAATTACGCCCTAAAATGGCAATCATTCCACCCAAGTGTTGCTGGAGGGGATGTAGTGTCTGTGTGATTGGGATTATCTTGGGGTTCAATTGTGTGTGGTTGTATGTTTTCCTGATTATCTGTGTGTGTGTGAGTGTGTGATTATCTGGGGGACTGTGTGTGTGTGTGTGTGTGTGTGTGTGTGTGTGTGTGTGTGTGTGTG